TCTCCCGATGGACTTCAATTGATAGAGAATTCTGTAAATAGACGAATAAGAGAAAAAGAAAGAAGAAGTTCGTACAGGTCACGGATATGACGAGTAACAGCTCCTAGACGGACCCAACATGAATTTATTTGGTATCTTTTCGATTTATCGCTGTGGCAACGGGTCGTCGAGCGACGAAGAAACCCCTCCGCTCTCTTGTTATCGTTTCTCATTGCTCGAAACTTGACTTATTGAAAGAATTCCATTGCTGGTACTTATCAAATGGAGTACTCTCTCTATCTCTCTCCCTCTATATATATATCTTTCTGTTTCTCTCTCTTTCTCTCTTGTTCCTTTTTTTACGCGTTTCTTTTTATATAATTGTTGGACGATAAATGTTTTTTAGATTTCGTCTATTTGCATAGTTTTTTTTTTCTTTTTTTCTTTTTTTTTTTTTTTTTTTTTTTTTTCGGTAAAAAAATGATAAAAATATTCCTACAAAGTATGATTAATAAATATAAATTATAGATAGAGAACAATGGTTAAAACAATATCATTTTGAAGAAAAATGTTTATTAAAAAATAATATAACAAACTATGATCCAGAATAATGAAAGAAAGTAATTTGATAATGCAATTCTATGATAAAAACGTGAATAATAATATCATTCGTTTGTAGGAATTTAAAGAAATTAAGAGTGATTCATCTGGAATAAAGTAGTATGAAAAATGGCAATGGTCGTGAAAGGACATTCATTTTTCGTAGGGTGCGTCGACACCGAGTGAAGGGCGTCGTAGTAGCGTCGCGACGCCTCGGGCCGAGGGCGCGTTGCTCTCGCACGGATCCGGCGCGTTCGATATCTGCGAAAAGCGTCGACCTCCTCCTCCTCCTCTTCCTCCTCCTCCTCCTCCTCCTTTTCCTCCTCCTTTTTCTCTTTTCTCCTCACCTCTCTTCACCTCACCTTACTCTTTAGGCTGCCTATCTCAACTAGAGAGAAAGAGGATGGGGAGGGAAAGGGGGAGGTGATCGGATCGATTCGCGTCGACGTACTACTATGGCCTGCTTTATAGCAAGAGAGCACTGACCTCCAAGGTCGCTCTTACGCGGCTGCATGTGCCGTCGTCGTTCCTCTCCTTTCTTCTCTTCTCTTCTCTTCTCTTCTCTTCTCTTCTCTTCTCTTCTCTTCTCTTCTCTTCTCTTCTCTTCTCTTCTCTTCTCTTCTCTTCTCTTCTCTTCTCTTCTCTTCTCTTCTCTTCTCTTCTCTTCTCTTCTCTTCACTTCTCTTCTTTTCTCTTTTCTTCTCATCTCCCACCTCTACGCGAACAGCTTCCCCTCGAATATTTTTCGCGCAGGCATGAGAGAGAAAGAGAAAGAGAAAGAGAGAGAGAGAGAGAGAGAGAGAGAGAGAGAGAGAGAGCAAGAGTAAGAAGGAGAGAAGAGTGGTCCAGACTCCTCATAGCTATGCCGCCGACCCCTTCCGCAGCCTCCCGTTGTTATACCCGCGTTCTATGCGAATATTCTGCGTAGTGTTATTAGGGTTCAATAGTCGAAGGATTTTATATTGAACAGAACTAATAATATAATCTTATAATTATAATATAAAATATTCTATTTTCTTTGTTTTTTTTTTTTTTTATATATATACGATTCTTTTGAATACATTTATTACGAGATAATATAATGTATAATAATTTGTTAATAACAAGTTAAATAATCAAGCAGAATAATCGTATTTTTCAATTCGAATAAATTAATATTTTCCGGGATCTTGTCTATATGGTTGCGAAATGATTTGTAGATTTTTAAATAAATCATCATTCCTACGTGCTATTGATATCGTGTAAATATCATGATCAAGATCTCCTTTATCAAGCTTATTACGCAAATGTAAGTACGCAATACATGTGGAAAGAATTTTTTTCTTACGATATTTCCTTTTATCGTTGAAGGCAAAAAAGAAAGAGCATTAGTGGCAAAAAGCAAGGAGAAAAGTGTAATATTACATTTATACTGTATATATTATAGTCTGCGATTCCTAAGTGGCCGATCGTATGATCGAGTAGAATGTCAAACCGGGGCAAGGCCAATCGCGATCGATCGTTCGATTTCCGGGTTTTGTTCTTTCTCTTCTAGAGATAGAGAAATAGGAAATAAACAATTAAAAAGGTAAAGGAAGAAAATAGAAAGGTGGAGGAAAAGAGGGTATATATATATATATACACATATATAAAAGAAAGCGTGTCCAACGATAAGACCAAAATGTTTTCTCCATTTAACACACTTATTTGTCGAAGATTTTTGAAGAAGCGAGAAAAAAAAAGAAAATTCAAGACTAGTTGGTTGGTTGGTTGGTTGGTTGGTTGGTTGGTTGGTTGGTTGGTTGGTTGGTTGGTTGGTTGGTTGGTTGGTTGGTTGGTTGGTTGGTTGGTTGGTTGGTTGGTTAGTTCGTTCACTTATTCGCATTGCTCGCTAGAGTAGCAAACGCGGAGGTGTTGGAGCGTGTTAAACGGCGGAATTCGGGCGGAACGTGCGGTTTCTTCATCGAAATTATAAAGAATGGCACACGTGGCGTCGATGACAAGCCGACGTTAGAGAGAAAGAGAAAGAGGGAGAAATAATGTTACGGTTAGATATCGAGAGCCGGCCGGTTCCTAATTCGGATATAGGTGTGTAATGTTATTTTTAGAAGTTTAGCGCCTTTTCTCTCTCCGGTCATTCTGGCTGAACGCCAATAGCGCGCGCTCGAACGGAGGCCACGCGATACACGTGGAAGTGTTGCGACGCTTTACGCATGCGCTTGTTCTATCTTGCTGTATATTCATCTCTTCTCATTTCTTCTCTTCTCTTCTCTTCTCTCTTCTCTTCTCTTTTCTCTTCTCTTCTCTTCTCTTCTCTTCTCTTCTCTTCTCTTCTCTTTTCTTTTCTTTTCTTTTCTTTTCTTTTCTTTTCTCTTCTCTTCTCTTCTCTTCTCTTCTCTTCTCTTCTCTTCTCTTCTCTTCTCTTCTCTTCTCTTCTCTTCTCTTCTCTTCTCTTCTCTTCTCTTCTCTTCTCTTCTCTTCTCTTCTCTCTCTTCTCTTCTCTTCTCTTCTCTTCTCTTCTCTTCTCTTCTCTTCTCTTCTCTTCTCTTCACTTCTCTTCACTTCTCTTTTTACCTCCTCTTACCGGTGGTTTGTGAATTTAGGCGGGTCGACTACGTGTTGGCATCTTCCTCGTTCCTTTTCGCTTTTTCTGCAAAAGTCGAGTAGTTTCTTTTTCGTGTATTGCCCTCGTGAGAGCAAAGAGCTTTTAACAGTTTAATCATTTGTCTTTTCTTTTTTTTCTTTTTTTTTTTTTTTATTTTTCTTCCCTTTTCTTTTTTCTTACCTCCCCCCCCTATCGATTCGGTTCAATGTCTTGTCATTTAATTTGAATAATAGATTTATCGAAGCAATTATCCTACCTAGACGATTTCTATACTTGCGAAAAATATATTTATTTCTTCGATATATCTTTTTATTGTAATTAAATGATTTAACGCTATAATAAATATAGATGCTCGATGAGAGTCTTTTAATATAATTGACTGTCATTAAAAGGTTATAACTATAATTAAGCGTAATTATATATAATCGCTTAGAACGAATAAGATGTGAATTGACGTGGAAAAGCGTTCGCCCAGTTTCTTTTCATTCGCATGAGATTCACTTCCAAAAATTCATAGTGTCCTATGTCATCGATTATACGTTTCCACTTTTTCTTTCTGAAAATCGTCTGTGTTACGAAATATTTCAGATAGTGATGTTAGGATGAACGAAAATATAATACCGAATTATCGTCTACGCAAATTGATGCATGTAGTGTACGTAGAATATAGATATTAAACGTGATTTTATTTAAGTTTTAGACATAGCGTACTTGTCGTTTTTTTTTCTTCTTCTTCTTCTTTTTTTTTTTGTTATTTTCGTTTGTTTTTCTTTTTTCTTTTTTTTTTATTTTTTTAAATAACACTTACGAAATGCTTAAAAATATAAAATTTGAATATGAATAATCTCGTTTATCGAATCATCGTTTATTGAATTTTTCCTCGGGATAATTGTCGAATTAGTTTTCTTAGTTAGAAATGATTGATAAGATTTTCCTCAATGAAAGATACCGAATCTGTAAAATTAACGAAATTATTTGCGGAAATAGAGAAATGAATGTGATTGAAGAAATGTATTTTGGGTTCGGCCTTGACAGAAGTCATCATTGTCCGTATCCGGGTTTGTCGAAGAAGGAAAAGGAAAGAAAGAAGAGAAATGGAGAGCAATCTAGACCAACCGGATTTCCAGTGATTGTATGAAACGTCAGAGAAATACAGGAACGCCTACATTCTCTTTCTCTCCCTCTCTCTCTCTCATTGTCTCTTCTTACTTCTTCCTAGAAGGTCTCCTTGACCAGCACGTGGCATCGTTCGCCTTGTCAAAGGGTGTCCTTGCTTCTAACGGTTTAGTTCGTGACTCATCTCGAACTCAAGAGAGTCGATTATGCGTTTGCCCTTGCAAACGACGGGAGTTTTCTGATAAAACGTTATCGAACATCCGCCGAATGATGATTATGGCGCCATGTTTCGGGCCGGACGTCGCTCAAAGACTCATTTTGGGCTGTGCCAAGTCCTCCCGTCGAGAAAGAATGAGAGGAGAGAGAGTGAATGGTCAAACGATCGTTTCCGCCGCTCTGAGCTGATCTTTGCCTTGATCGTAAGGGTCGAGGGAAGTGACTTGGCTAGCCAATTAACGGGTTCGACTGCGGTCTCTGACCGCAGCTGGGCGATAATGGCTTTCCAAAGTATTTCGAATCGATAGTCCTCTATTTTTGGGAGTTTTTCGTTAGTCTGAAGTTCAACGAAAACGATTGATAATTATTTTATTGATATATTCAAACGCAACAATTAAACATTTTATTATCGTTTTTCTCGATTTAAATAAAAATCTGCTAAATCATCGAAAATATTAACGAATTTATTTGATTAATAAATCTTGTTTATATGTTTTTGTTACAGAAGAAGAAGAGATTGACGTAGTGACATTCGAGAAGCCTAGTCGAGCGAGCAATTTAGCTAATAAAAATGAACAACAACAGAATCAATATCATCAACAAAATAATCATCACCATCAGCACCACCAGCAGCAGCACCACCAACAGCATCACAAACAGCATCATCATCAGCAGCAACAGCAGCAGCAACAGCAGCAGCAACAGCAACTGCAGCAGCAACAGCAACAGCAGCAGCAACGCCCACAGCGGTCAACAAATGTGAAAGAAAAGAAAGGCACGACAGCAACGACGATACAAGCACCCAGACCACGAGGCAGGCCGCCGGCAAATGCTACAACACGAAAACGAAATCTGTCTGCTAGCACTCCTGCTGTCGATAAACAAGCCAAAAGAAATTGTACCAGAAACACTCAAAGAAGAAAAAAGACAACGAAAAGCAAAGGTGGCGCAGCCTCGAAAAGTTCGTCGGAAGATGAATTGGATACCGAGAAGAGGAGTCTTCATAACAATATGGAACGACGGAGACGAGTCGAACTTCGGCATTTCTTCGAGGATCTTCGTCGTTTAGTGCCCGCTGTTGAATTTAAAGAAAAAGCAGCGAAAGTGACAATCCTGAGACAAGCTGCACTATTTTGCGATGTTCTCGCTCATTCATTCATCAACAATCAGATTAAGATTTCTGAATTATCGAAGGAACAGATACTATTGAGAGCCAGGCTGAAGTATCTTAGATATAATCTTGCTCGGAGGCGTTAAAGAGAATTTTAGAAGAAAAAAAAGAAAAAAAGAAAAAAAAAAAGAAAAAAGGAAACAAGAGAAATGGGAATTCCAATCGAGTTATTATTAATCTCGATATGGGTCACTCACATTTATAAACATATTACATATACATATATATATATATATATATATATATATATATATATATATATATGTATTCACATTTTCGTCACTACGCGTATACATTTATCAACATAGAAATGCAACTTGGCTAGGAATAACAACAACAACAACAATAACAACAACAACAACAATGACGAGGACGACGACGACGACGAAGGAAACTATTACAACTACGACGGATCTTTCGACCTTCTCATGTGAAAGACCATCTATCAAACTCGTTCCTCTGGCCGATCATACCTCAAGGAATGAAACATCATAAACTGATGTATACTACGATCGCGAGTTGAAGGTCATCAGCCACCAGGATCACGCATCTACATGGATACTTAATGTGTCTAATTCGATCCGCGATTTCTTTCAAGGACACGAAAGAAACGTACTTCTTTGTTTGCTTTTTTTTTTGTTTTTTTTTGTTTTTTTCTTTTTTTTTTTTTTGTTTTTTTTAAATCATAGAAGACGTGTAAGCGTGAGAAGTTGCAGACGTTCCGGAGACATTTTCGTTTTGTTTCTATTATTCGTCTTATTTAGGAAATATTCATAAAGAAGCATGATCGAATAGAACAGATGGAAGTTCGCGATAGGACATTAAGGAACTCGCACGACAGACGTATTTTGTACTTTTTTATTTATAAATTTGCTTCGTGTATCGTTCCTTACAAAAGTGGTAGAAATAAAGGTGGATAGAGATAAAGATAAAGATAGAGATAATGATAATGATAAAGATAGAGATAAAGATAGAGATAAAGATAAAGATAGAGATATAGATAAAGATAGAGATAGAGATAAAGATAGAGAGAAGAAAGAGAGAAAGAGAAAGAAAGGTATAGACATGCGCATGTATCGCATGTATCGCTTGTATCTCGATGTTCCTCGTTGGGAGTATTCTGTTCGTTTTCAAAGGCGCAACGTTTGTTAACTTTTTTGTTTGTTTGTTTTTTTTTTCTTTTTTTTTTTTTTTTTTTTTTTTTTTTTAATTATTTTTATTATTATTATTATTATTTTTTAACTTTTTCCATCCGATTCGACGGACAAACAAACACAACATCTGGTACGTATGCCATCCTCTCGGTAAGTCCGCGAATATTTTTCTAACATGCGCCGAAAAATGATCCCAAAAAGTAGAAAACGAAAAAAAAAAGAAAGAAAGAAAGAAAGAAAGAAAAAGAAGGAAAGAAAGAAAAAGAAAATGCGAGAAGGAATAATATCTTTCGTCTAACGATCAAAGAAGATAAAAGATATTCAAGTTGGTGCATTGTGCGGTTTTCCCGCAGACGTACATTTTAAAACGCTGAGATTGAACGTCTCTAGTACGCGACTAGTTTTAATTTCCCTAGTTTAACGACGTAGATAAAAAGTGTACAGCGCGCTAGTACGAAGAGAGCGAGGAAGCTTATCAGGATTATTATTAGTCAAACGTTTGCTACCGGTTAATTCCCTCCCCCTTTTACTATCGTTGTTTCTCCATACCTCACGATTGGGGATTGCGATCTATCGAACCTCTATGTATGTAGATACATACAGTAGTTAGTAACCGATTCAAACTCAACTCTAGATTTTATTTTATTGAAATTAAAAAATGTTGAATATTTAGGAAAGGGAGGAGGGGGTTGGTCCGGTAAAAAAAATTTCTTTCTTTACAACTTTCGTCCATTCTCGCTTGGAGCATTTTGAAATACAATTTTGATATTCTCCCCTCCACCCTTTATTTTCATTTTTTCCCTTCGTCGATAGAAATAGTTTAGTATTCGTAATAGTAGGAAAATTCATATTGTTATATTGATAATTATTTCATTCATTTCCAAGAAGGTAAACTCGTAAATCTCACTCGTTCTCTTTTGACAGTTAAGAACCAAAAAGGGTAAATTGATTAGCTGTCGATCGAAATGGTTTTTTTTTTTTTTTAATGGCGCACGACGTTCAATTGGATAGAGATTAGATTCTTGCACCCGTTGTTTATCTTCTTCTAACTCTACTTTTGTATGAGTGTTATATATATATACATATACATATGTATATATATTTATATACTATACAGTCTATAGTCTTTGCTATTTGGTATCGTCTCGACGGATTTCTTATTTCTTCACTTTCTTATATATATATATATATATATATATCGTTGTAATATTTCATTCAAAGGGCCTTCTGAATTCATTTCTGGAACACCTAAAAATCATACTTTTCTTTTTTCATCCCTATTCTATTTTATTCCATGGTATCGTCTCTTCTGAAAAGGTTAAAAAGAAAAAAGGGAGGAAGAGAGATAAAACAATTTTCATAGTATAGTTTTCCTCATGCATATATATATATATATATATATATATATATATATGTATGTATGTATGTATATCTCGATCGATGTTTTTCGTATGGGTGCAATAAAACGAACAACAAATTAAAGATTCCAAAATGGAAAAACTAGATGGATTCGTATTTGTTTGTTTGTGGTTTTTCTTTTTTTTTTCTTTTTTTTTTTTTAATTATTAGTAATTCTAGGAATTGTTATAACGATCGAGATGTTTACCATAGGGTGTTTGTAACCAACATCGGAAGGTGGCAACGGGATCGAACGATTTTTTTTCTACACTCGATTCCGTTCGCAAGCGAGTATTCTTTAACTTGATTTTGATTCCGTCGGGATGATATCCGTGTGTCTAACGAGTTTCTTCATCAAACTTTCGTCTTGTCTTCTTTATGGTCTACTTACTTTCCTTCGTGGAATAAGTTCTTTGCGCGCGAATGGACTTTGTTAGGATTAGAAAGATTCGTCGAGTTGCACTAAAGTACGCTTTTTAAAGTATATACATATACATAACAAATCATCATTGTTATGTATGTATATATATATATATATATACATAATATAATACATAACGTATGTAATGTACATAGGAAAATCTCTGAAGGAGAAATTCGTGCATAGAAACGTAAGTTACTTCCACATATAAATATATATAAATATATATAAATGTATATGTTAGTATATATATTTATATATATATACTATACGTACGTAGGCAAACATATATATGCATATATATACATATATACAATGGGTTATTACGTATGAGTTTAGGAACGAGAGAAAGAGAGAGAGAGAAGAGAGAGAGAGAGAGAGAGAGAGAGAGAGAGAGAGAGAGAGAGAGAGTGAGAGAGAAAGCGTGGAAATGAAAAAGAGAATACGACATAACCATTAACTATTGACATTAGTTAGTTCGATATGCATTAATTAATATTATTATTATTGTTATCGGTTTTTAGTTCGTTGTAGGCGCTTGCTATCGCTGATTATATCCATACGAATATTATTTACTGCTAATTATCGAGTCACGGTGGTATAAGCGATTGTGCTAATCCTATAAGATTTTCAGGGGAAAAAAAAGTATATTAATGGATATCGTATTAGAAATTAAGAATTGACGCGAAAAGAAACATACATAGATGAACACACAAATGCATAGACGTATACACATACACACAAACATACACCGACAATTTATACGCAACGATAGTTAGATAAATTCAAGAAACGGAAGAGCGCGCGATTCCCTTTTGCAAGAGGGAAAGAGAAGAAGCAACATAATGTGTTCATTACATTGTAGGTAACAGTATTTCTTTATATATAATATATATATATATATATATCTATATATATACAATACATATATTCATAAGCTTTTTACAAAAAAAAAAAAAAAAAAAAAAAAAGAAAAAATAAGAAATAAGGAAAGAAATAAGGGAAAAGACGATAGATTGTTTTTGAGGAACGCCAACGTAATAATATGCCACATATATATACAAATACAAACACATGCGCGCTTGCACACTCACACACATACACATACACAATATACATCAATTTCCTTACGTATGCATATAAATAAGCAAGAGAATAATAATGAAAGAGACATAGATAAGTAATAGAGAAAAGACCAGGTGTAGATTAGCGGAATAAGTAGTGCTAGTGGTTAATGACTGTGAGAGAGGATTAAAATTTAAGATGACGAAGGGTGATCGCGTGTAGTTTCGTGGTGTGCTAAAGGGGGCGGATGAATGGTAATGGAAGAAGAAGGGTAGAGAAGAAAAGTGAAGGAGGGAGAGAGAGAGGAACGATTAGGAGAGTCGAGAGCGCACGTGCGTCGTTAAATAAAGTCTCGAAAACTTTTGACGTTTGTGACGCTTCATACACACGCTTACGATTAACACACACACACACACACACGCACAGAAATACATATGCACAGAAACACATCTACATATAAACACACGGGTATACGTAAATTATGGGCTAATTATCGGTAGAAAACGAATTGCGACCTAAGTGCTTCGGATATTATACATACGTACATACATACATACATACATACATACATACATACATACATACATACATACATACATACATACATACATACATACATACATACATACATACATACATACATACATACATACATTTATATATATATATAACTTGTACAGGGCAAGTGTTTTTAACGGGGTGGCGGTTACAGCTTATAGGAAGGGATGTAAAACGACGATAAAATAATTCGTTGCCGGGAAAAAGGGAATAAGAACGAGGGTCTTAGAAAGAATAACGTACACCGAGCATTTACATAGGGTACATAATATATAAAACGCAGTTTGAATTTCGAAGGAAATATTTGATGGAATCGCACCGACGCTTTTGATAAGCCGCGATCATTTTTTTTCTTCGCGGCCACTGGCACTTGCTATATTTTTGAAAGACTTTTGTACTTTATTCCACGTTACGATAAAGGGCTGTTAAGCTTTTTTAGAGAACGAGATAGGATCGGGACTTGTATAATAAATATCGGATCTCACTCAGGATAATAATACGCGCCTTAAATCCGTATTTGTTCTTTGTCGGTGAAATGAAAAGGGAGAGAAAGAGAGAGAGAGAGAGAGAAAGAGAGAGAGAGAGAGAAATGAATAAACACGACATGTAAGAGAAATAGAAAAGTAGAAGTAAGATTGTGTTGTAGATACACAATTGTAGTTTGATTGCGAAGGAAAGAATATAACGTTTTAGGATGGAAATTCCTACAATAAATGGAAATCCTCTCTAAATCATCTTTCCATTGAAATAATATCGAAACGATTCGAAAGCGCTTCGCAATATAAAGTTTCGCAGTAGCAGTTCTTTGGCATCCTTCCCTTTTGCTCTTTCGGGAAATACGATGAATCTATTTTTCTTTTTTTTGTATCTGTGCCAGAGATATTATCTATCCATTTCTCTTCGTCGCAGATTTTCGTCGCAGTTCTATGAAAGGATATATCGGTAGTTCGTGAATTTTTATTAAAACGTGCCACTGATGATATCTATTCTAGAAGGAAAGAGTGAAAGAATGAATGAAAGAAAGAAATAAAGAAAGAAAGAAAGAAAGAAAGAAAGAAAGAAAGAAAGAAAAATCATAGCTAGTGTTTCCCGAGAATTTCGAAAGATATGATGGATTTTTAAAGGAACGATTCATTCAAAACAACGATATCGAAATTGGATATCGATGATTTTTATATACTCTCTCTTACATTCGCTTTGCACTTTATCAGAAAAGAAAAAAAAAAAAATAAGAAAAAAAGAGAAAAAACTAAAAACAAAAAACGAAAAAAAAGTAAGTAACAAAAATTGCGCTGTCTTCTGCGTCCATCTTTCTCGTTTCTTCTTCCACAAGTTCTCCACAGGTCTACAATGATTTTTCCTATCTTTCAAAATTCTATTTTATTATTTCTGCCGACAAGGTCCTTATCTACCCTTTCCCCTGGATCAACCAATAAAATCTTTTCTTTATCTTAAATAAAACAAAGGATTTTATTCTTTATACGAAACTATGAATATATACACACACACGCGACATACACACACATACACACAAGCATATTCATTGTACATTATGTACATAAATACACACATATATATGCATACTAACATACATACATACATACATACATACACAGGATACGATTACAGGAAACTCGACTATGTATACCTCGCAATAGTGGTCGTCTTTTTTTTTTTTGTAAGATATAGATAAACCCTTAACGTTTATTTTCGTTTCGGCGATGCCCTTTCTTTTCTTGTTCTTTTTTTTTTTTTTTCTTTCATTTTCTTCCTCGTCTTTTTCCTTTTCTACACTCGCTCGTGCGTTCGGCCTGTGAGTTCTCTATATCGTGCCAAATCACAGGAGAAAGGAAGGCGAAGTAAAAAGGATATGAAAGGGACGAGAGTTCGTTGTATATTGTAGGGTGTATTTTTCTCTCTTCCCTTCTTTATTCTTCCTCTTCTTTTTCGTCTTATTCTTATTCTTATTATTCGTAGTCTTTTTTTCTTTTTTTTTTTTCTTTTTTTTTTTTTTTCTTTATTTTTTTAATCGACTGGAGTTTTAGGCCTTCTCTTAGCAAAAACTTCTTCAACGGATTTTGCTTAGAGAGAGAGAGAGAGGGAGAGAGAGAGAGGGAGAGAGAGAGAGAGAGTGAGAGTGAGAGTGAGAGAGAGGGAGAGAGAGTGTGTGCGTGTGTGTGTGTGTGTGTGTGTATCCTAGCGGATTTTGGGGGTCGTTATATCATTCTCATACTTTTTTCTTTGCTTTTGATAACATTACATATACATATATATATATATATATGTATATATATATGTATACGTATCTATCCTTCTTTTCTCTCTTGACAAAAGTTCGAATTTTCTTCGTCGATTCGTTCACATGATTTATTCGAAAAATAGAACGAATATTTCTCTTCCCCCCCTTTTTTTTCTTTGTATATTTTAATGAAAGAAAATCGAATCGTCAAATGCATAAAATTGTTTACGGACATCTTATTTGTGGACAAGTCGATAGATTTCATAAGTGTTTTCGATCGTATCTGTAAGAAATTACGTGATATTCGATTTTTCTTAGATTAATTACAAATTAAAGATTTATTAGCGTACGAAAAAGCGGATGTGATCTTTGTTCTTAATTCTTTTCGATTTGATCTTACACATGGAACATAATAATATATTAATATTATTTTTTTTTTTTGTTATTTTTTCAAAGAGATCGAAGTGTTATCGATAAAAAAAACAAAAGAAAAAGTAAAAGAAAATAAATAAAATTGTACAAAAATAGAAAGTACAACGACAGATGACGCGAAGCCCTTTCCGTTTCTTTATTTCATAATTTCCATAGTGTCTTTCTTTTTTTTTATTTTTTTTTTTTTTTTCTGATCCGATTTTTAAATGAAAAAGAAAAAAGTATACAATATACATGAAACTTATTGAAAACATCGATTTTCTCGTACCTCAGGATGAATCCCCTGATCCGCTGGTGTCTTGAAAAGAATGCAAACGTACCTGCTAGCTATATAAACATTTTAAATAATAATAGATTACTATAATAACACGAAGGAAGCGGTAAGAAAGATTAACGCATTTGAATAACGACGTGTGCGTTTGTTCAGGATTAGTATCATACGAGGATGAAGATATTTTCGTTGCCATTAGCGACGAAAATATGACACGGAACGATGATGATGTTTCCTTCATTCTCGATGAATTATAGATATATGTTATAGATACGATTCTTTGATTGATATATATTATATGTATATATACGATACACACACGCACACGCACACACACGCGCACACACACACACATATGCATGAACTCGTAAGGATTCGTTTCCGTCTTTGCTTATGATTCTCTTTCTATTTTTGTTTGTTGTTTTTGAATTTTTATCGATCATAACTCAGACGAGGCTAATCGGCCTTTAATTTCTTTTTATTTTATTTTTCCTCTCTCCTCTCCCTCTCCCCTCTCCTCTCCCTTCTCCACCGTCCTCTTTACGTTATTTCACAAATTATTTCGTCTAAGTGCATTTTTCTTCCAGTCGAGATTTTTCTTCTGTAAAGAAACAAGACGGCGGCCCCCCTCCTTCCTTATATTTTATTGTTTCTATTTTTTTTTTCTTTCCTTTGTTTTGTATCTTTCTTTTGAGAGAATCATATATTTTTGTTAGAACGACGCAACTTGTGGAAACGAATCGTACTACTTTGTTGTATAAAACGTGTATCATACACACAACATATATATATATATATATATATATATATATTTATATATACACATACACAACGCGTATATGTATAACCCTTTACTCCCGACCCGCGTATATCGTAGGCGGATATTATTCTTCACCTTCTCTTTTATTTTTTTTTCGATTAAGAAAGCAGAGGTGGATGGTTGCGACGACGAGTGCTTCGCACGTGGGCTAATAAGAAATTAAACAACAAACAAAAAAAAAAACATTTTTACGAATGATAGAGTTTTATAAAAAGTGTACATAAATAAATATATAGTTTACTATACAAAACTGTGTATAGTTGTTCTGGACCTTAATTAAAGTTAAAATAACGAAGGAACGTGAGAGAGATAATGGAAGAAGAAGAGTGGAAGGCAAATAAGAATTATTAGTCGTCGAGCAAGAATTTATCGATTGCGAAGGAACGCTCGATGCTCGATTAACGACGGTTGTTCACGTAACATTAGGTTTTTTATTCAGAGCAAAACAATATTTTTTATTTGTCCCTTTATTTTTATATGACGTTGCTACTGAAATAAATAGTAAGCGATTAATAAAAAAAAAAAAAAAAGAAAATAAATAAAAATAATAATAATAAAAAAAAAAGGAATAAAGAAAATAGAACTTTTCTACGACGAAACATAGTTGAGTATTCATATTACGTCAACGACATGGAAAAAAGATTTTTAAGAAAAAGCGCAAGAGAGCGAGAGAGCACGAATT